GGCCGCTTCTCCACGACCGGGTGGTCCTCCGCTCTGCGCCGCGCCGCTTTGCCTTGGTCAATTTCGAATCTCACGGCCGCCCCGACCTGGCCCGGCCAGCCAGTGCTTCGGATCTCGACGCTTCCTTCGATTCGCGGAGCAATGGCGTCTGGATCGGGCGATGATGCCCCGAGATTACAAAATGTACGGGCGTGATTGCCACAGTTCGTCAAAGTCAAACCTGTGCGCTGCGGTTGTTGCTGTCTTCTGGACGCCAGCTACGACCGCGCTGATTGGCAGCCAGTCGTCTCGTAGTATCGTGCTTCCATATGGGTCAATGATAATCCAGAGGGCCTCCAGAAGATGAAACATTAACATCGACAGGATTACATAGACAGAGCCATGGTGAGAAATGAACAGTTTGGAAGTATGCTTATGCTTCAGAACACGATTCAGTCCACCTTTCTGTAAGTTGGATGGTGATTTTTCCAGGCCGGTCGATTCCAATGATGGATGGTGGCTCAAATGTCATGAACCAATTTACGGCCCGCTTTACTGCGTATGTATGCATTTGCAATATGTCTAGGATCACTGGCTTAATCAGAGATATATGAACCAAAATCCCTTAATTTACAGATGCCCTACTCCTTATTAACCTCCTGTTTGTGCTTAATTAGCATGTTGGCACTATAAAAACAAAACATTTTTGGCATTTCACCTGCTTTCTGGATTTTTATATGCGAATGTTCACCCAATTCAGACTTGAGATTTGTGGTGGTAACTGTCCTACGATTCCAGCTTACATGTTTCTGTTTCTCTCTCCCTCCCTCTCTAAATTACAGGCGGAGGGGGATACACGTATCTTCTGGAGCCTCTCTGGTGGGCTGGCTTGATCACCAGTATGTTCATTCTGCACAAAGTTAGCCGTGGGTATTGATTTCATTATGCAACTAAATTTTCTTTTTCTTGACATCTACAAGTGCTGCTTGGGGAGGTCGCCAACTTTGTCGCCTATGTCTTCGCACCAGCTGTCCTCGTGACTCCTCTTGGAGCACTGAGCATAATCGTCAGGTGAATTTGCAAAACCAAAACCCTTATTTTCAATGCCATCTTTGATTCTCCCGTGCTTGACGTACAAGTTTGCTACAAATGGCCAGTTCAGTGTTAGCGCACTTTGTGCTGAAGGAGCGGCTTAACAAGCTCGGCGTTCTTGGTTGTATATCGTGCATAGTAGGTTCAGTTGTTGTCGTTCTACATGCCCCTGAAGAGCACATGCCCGATTCCGTTGAAGAAATCTGGGATCTAGCTACTCAAGCAGGTGAGTCATCGGCCTGCAATCATACACCTTATGTTAGTTGTAGCACACCCACATGTCTGACAGCCTTTCTCCATATTATGGTGTCAACCATGGGCAGGATTTCTAGCATATGCGGGAACAACATTGTTACTCATGGCAATAGTAGTAGTGTTCATCGAACCTCGATATGGTCAGAAGAACATACTGATATATCTGGGTATCTGCTCTTCAATGGGATCATTAACTGTAAGTGTGCTTTAATTCTGAGATGCACAGCCTAACATAAGTGAGTTTTCGAGCTGAATATCACTACTTTGTAGGTTGTTAGCATCAAAGCTGTTGGTGTTGCCATAAAGCTTACGCTGGATGGAATGAACCAGCTTGCCTATCCGCACACATGGCTTTTTATTCTGGTCGCAGTTATCTGTGGTGTTTCTCAGCTAAATTACCTCAACAAGGTAGCACATCTTTTCCTCCTCCTAGTTAATTGTTACTCCTGTCCTGTGAATATGTTTTGCTTGATTGCATCTACATGAGCTTGTACTACTCGGTTTTTGACAACTTACGATTTTCATGAATTTGCTACTTATTTTGTTACTTGATTAAGTCAAACTTTATTTTCCGCTGCAGATATTAAGAATAAAATGAAGTATTATTTTACTTGGTCTAGTTGATTTAAAATTATTCTGGTGTTTTTCTCTTTTTTCTTGTTATGCTGATTTTATTCAACTTTTGCAGGCACTGGATACCTTTGATTTAGCTATGGTTTCCCCAGTTTATTATGTAATGTTTACCACCCTTACAATAGTGGCGAGTTCAATTATGTTCAAGGTAGAAAGCAACTTTAGATTGTTTAGTTAATTCAACTGGACTTTGTGGTGCGGATTGCAACTCATTCTGCTTGCTGTCAAATGCAGGACGGGGCTGGACAAAGCTTAAGTAGTATTGCTTCTGAATGCTGCGGCCTGGTAACAATCCTTTCTGGAACAATTTTGCTGCACGCAGCAAAGCAAAAAGAAGTTGCCAGTTCTCCAGGTACAATTTTGTGGTTCAGTGATGCGCGCATGTGGTACTTGTTTTAAAATGTACCCTGTTCTGCTGCATCACCATCATCTCCTTTTTTTAAACAATAATAACTTGAAGTTTCTTAAGACACCCTTTTTTCTTCAGAAAATAAATTATGCTAAACCAACTACTCCCACTGATATTCTAAACTAAAAAGTAAACATGTTTTAGTAACTTGGAGTAATAGATCTATCAGAATGTTTCTTAACTACTGCGCACTAATTCTGATTTTCACAAAAAAAGAATAGTTCTTTTCTGCCTCAACCGCTGTTTTGAACTGGATTTGTTCTTCCAAACCGGTTATAAGCAGTTCTCTTTCATATTTCGTATCAGTATCAGATTTTGGAAAGACATGAAAATTTATTTCTGTTTGCAGCATCCACTTGGCCTTTGGATAGAGGGATATCTTGGTATATCAGTGTAGGCAGCGACAATCTTCTGAGGAACGTCGAAGACGACTACTTCGCCGCTCCACAAATTTCGCCAACCACACCCTGATCATACACTCGGAGTTAAGTCCAAATACTTTGACCGGAGAAGAAAGTCCTCGGACACTTGTAAAGAGGAAACCGTGTGAATTGCTGCGGAGTCTTAGCAGCGCCAGCATTCTGGCGGTTTTGGTTGAGAAGATGAAGATTTCGTCAGCCATTCTTTCGCCGTACGTACATAGGAACCTGTCTAGATTTCTCAAACCATTTCATACTAGGAACCTGTCTAGATTTCTCCAGTTTGTAAGTTGTTCGTCGATGAGCAGTGAGCGGGCTGAATTTGTCGGCCTGCCTGTTGTTGTGCATTACGTAGAATATTTCTCATTGCGATTAGGTTTCAGAGTGGCATCAATGCACGATTCGATTTCGACGCCATTGTTCTTCTGAGAGAATATTTCGGTTTCATTGTTGAGCTTAATTAGTTTTGGTTGAGCAGATGATATGGTTACCATATGAGCTGCAGATGTATACATTTCAGTGGAGGCTGAAGCCTCCTGTTAAATCTTTAAATGAAATTGCTGATGATATGGTTACCATATGAACTGAGGTCAAGATCGTGACATGTTGCTGCACACGTCTCGGCAGGTTACCTGCATCTCTGTTCCAACAAAATCAGTGGTTGGTTTCTGGAGTGTGTCCCCTGGACAATGGGCAGTTGTGTATGCACGGACAGTACTACTGTCTACTGCTGCTACAAAACTGGCACCAAACGCGTGAACGAGGGCCAGGAGAGTGGAGAATGGCGGCTGACCTCCGGCAGACGCCGGCGTGGTTCCTCTGGTTGGCCGTCCTCGGCGCCCTCCACGTTGTGGCGTTCTCGTCCCACCTCCTCGTCCACCTCGCGCACTGCCTGCGCCGACCCAAGGACCTCCGCCGGTCCTATGGCGCGTGGGCAGTGGTCACCGGCCCGACGTCCGGCATCGGGCGGTCCGTCGCCCTGGAACTCGCCTCAACCTCGTCCTCGTCGGCCTCGACGCCGCGGATCTGCAGGAGGTCTCCGACACGATCAAGTCCCGTCACCCCGTGGAGACCAGGGCCGTGGTGTTCGACCTCTCCCTCGTCTCCACTCCCCAAGGTACGTGTCTACGTGGTTCACTCAAGGTCAGCATATCGGAGCGCATGGCAACACGTGATTATCTTCGCCGGTCGGCGGCGTGCAGGCGACGAGGCGCTGCGGCGGCTCCGGGACGTCGTGGAGGGGCTGGACGTGGGGCTCCTCGTCAACAACGCCGGGGTGATGAGCCCTCGCGCGGCGTTCCTGCACGAGGCGGACGCGGAGGCACTGATACGCATGATCCGCGTGAACCTGTGGGCGACGACGGAGGTGACGGCGGCGGCGATCCCCGGCATGGCGACGAGGGGCAGGGGCGCCGTGGTCAGCATGGGGTCGGCGACGTCGGAGGCCGTCGCCTCCTTCCCGCTCCACGCCGTCTACTCCGGCACCAAGCTGTACGTCGCGTGGCTCTCCAGGGGCCTCGCCGCCGAGTACGGGGGCGGAGGGGTCGACGTGCAGTGCCAGGCGCCCATGTTCGTGGCGACGGCGATGGTCGCGGGCTTCTCGGCGGTCTGGCGCCCCGCGCCGCTGGTGCCCACCGCCGGCGCCTACGCGCGCGCGGCCGTGCGCTGGGTCGGGCGCGGCGGCCCGCTCTGCGTGCCCAGCCTCCGGCACCGGCTGCTGTGGCGCCTCCTCGCCGCCGTGCCCGGCTGCGTGCAGGACTGGGCCTGCCTGCGCGAGGGCCTGCGGCAGAGGAAGACGTCCCGGAGCCGGGGATCGTCGACGGCGTCGGCGTGCCATGCCAGCAACCGAGTAGGAAACTGTCTCACGAGTGAGTGAGTGAAGTGACGTGACTCCTGGCCCCCCACTCTCACTTGTCACTCACGAGGACTCGATGGAGTGATAGGAATAGCGCAACCGTTTTCATTTTGATTAAGCCATAAAAATATTCGGCTGAAGCAACCTTGTATGCGGCTCTTAATAAAAAGTTGCTAAAATGACATGTGTACCGTCGACTAATGAAACTAAACGAGGCCTTCATTGGATTTCATTTCCTTACTTCCCAAGAAAACACACGTCGCACCAATATTATTACCAAAACCTCAACTAATTAAAAAAAATTCTTGTCTTCCTCTACCCATGCCCGAATCAAATTAAATCTTACCAAAAATCTGAAATATGGTGGGTGCAAGATTTATGTCACACACGATTGGTGTTGAACCAGTAAAATATGTATGCCCCCCGCTGCAATGCATGTGCAATTAGCTAGTGATTGTAATGCATGAGTTATTGAGGAACACACGAAGGACTGGTAACAAGTTCCAACGTAATTATTGAATGGACTTGATGAAACAACGGCATCCATGATATATCAATGCAAAATTCAAAGGTAAGCAAAATAACAACGAATTGAGATAGTGCACTGACCTTCGACGCAACAAATTTGTACTTGGTTGTTTCACCTAATTGCAAAACAAAGCAGAGAGGAACAACTCCCACAACTTAAGGCTTTGACTTTAGAGGAGGTGACACCAACAAAGCACATGTTGCACCACGTTCATGCTTTGCACCTACACAAAATACATGCAAGCAATAGCGTGACATTGGCAACCATGGGTACCAAAATCATTAGAATGAAGGACATTATGAGAGACCAATTGCAAAATAGCAAACCGAGGACCGGATGAGTAAAGAAGGCACGGGATAAGGATAGTAAAAAAATAACTATCGTATGTTCTATCAAGGTCATGGAATGGAGCAACGTTCGGCTTGGATCACGCGTATCACCCCGACAAGGAACAACTGCTCCACCACAAGCATCGTGGCCGTGGCAACGAGTAGGTCGCCCGAGACGACGATGTGTATTCTCAAAGGTTTCACCCTAGGACGAGAATGGGAAGGGGCAGGTGTGGGACAGTGGGGTGGGGAGTCGGGAGATGCCCATCGACGAGTCACAAGCGATTATGTTGATGCACATGTGGCCCCATCTTGACAGTGGAAGGATCAAATGAGAGTTTCATTTGATTCGTTCTGGAGTAGAAACCATGCAGGAGAAGAGGCGCGCCGAATGACCAACAATGACCGGGATGCGCAATCCGATGGCTATATATAATGGGTCAAGGCGTGAGAGAGCAGCTACTCCCTCCGTTCCTAAATATAGGTCTTTTTATACATTTCAAATGGACTATAACATACGGATGTATGTAGATATATTTTAGAGTGTAGATTCATTCATTTTGTTCCATATGTAGTCACTTGTTGGAATCTCTAGAAAGACTTATATTTGAGAAACGGAGGGAGTAGATGGCACAACTGTAACATATGTTTTGTAGAAGATCGGGAGGAGTGGATGACTTTTCTAGCAAGAGCAGTAGACTGAGTATTTTCTTCTTTTATATTAAGACTGATAAACTACAAATTCTCGAAGAGAAAAGGAGAAGGATTTGCGGCGGGGGCACTCAGGTCCCTGGTGCCAGCTTTTACTTTGGCTTCTGATTTTGAAAGTTCTATATCTTTGGAATGAAGATTTTGAATTAAGTCATGTTTACATATTCGTGTTTCTCGTGACCAGCGCTTTCAAAAAGATCCATTTTGAATATATTTTGATAACTTTTGAAAATAATGTTAAGTTTCAGTGTTTTAAATTTATTAAGAGCGACCGATAAAAATCAATTATTTTTGTGTGTATGACCGACATAGAAAATTGTTTACAATTATATCCCTGAAACTTGTTGAAACTGGGCATTTTTTGATGCAAAAACGTTAAGTTTCATCGTTGAAATTTAAAGCTTTTTAAGGATTTCTTTTTATTTTGTTCTTGTGCGGGATTCAACTACTTCACGAAACACGAGGCAAATTGAGCGGATGGCAAAGCTTTGCGGGTTACTGTCCCGCACTTATATGCCCTTGCAAATTTTCAAGAGAAAAGGTAACAAATTTGACTACATTATATAGATGTCCTTGATCATGCATGATGCACAACCGCACACGGCACACTGCATGGACACGTAGCCGAAGGTAACAAATGCGTCGATAGGAGGCAAAGCATGCAACAACATTGAAAATGTTACTTGGAGTTGATCACATACACTGCCTTTGGAGAACATTGAAAAATTCGAAGGAGATCATTGTCAGCAAATATCATTTGGACGAGACTAAACAAGGTGGAAACTAAACAACGCGCACTTGAGCTTTTTAACCAACCAGTCAAATCCCTCTCCACCATCTGATCAGAATCCAAAGGACTAGCCACCTTCCTTTTTCTACAGCCTTCTTCTCCCCATACAGTAAAATTAAAAAAAAAGTCAAAAACAATTTTTTAGGAAAAAATAAATTAGTGACATTGATATTATCCTTAAAGAAGAAAAAAATAAAAAATAAATTATGACAAAAAATTGCTCTCAATTTTCTACATAAATTAAATTTTCTATAAATGCAAGAACAAATATGTAATAGAACAATTTTCGGTTTCTAGCATAATTTTTTTTGCGGGATTAATAGGTGTTTTATTCCATAATAATAGGATTACAGCCTAGTGGCAGTAGTGCCTCAATACATGGAGGACCACGGTGTAGCCATACAACAGTAGTACATTCATATCAACTATAACTAGCCAAACGATCTGCTACCCTATTTTGTTCACAGGAAATTTTCTGGGGAATAAACTCCCTATCAATCATCAAAAACTTTATCTCAGCAACTAGATGACCATACGCAGAGCGATCCAGATTATCGCCTTTGAGAGAAGCCAATGATGTCAAGGAATCGGACTACACAATGATCGGCCTTCAGAGTGTTGTTTGGCTAGTGCCATACCTTGCATCAAAGCGTGAATAAGTGTCACTGATTTAGTACAAAGAGGGAGTTTTCTCTTTTGCTCGGGATATTGCATAGTAGTTATGTGTATACTAGCACACACCCAAGACTCACACATACTACACATAAAGATACAAATGACCCAATAAAAAAGAAAACAAAAACAAACACACATAAAAAGGAAAAAAATGCCTGAACTTAATTTTTGCAGAGACTATCAAATACTTTTTTGTTTGATAAATAGAGACCAGCAAAAGTCAAATACTAGCAAAAGCAACGAGACGCACACGGAGCCACAAATCGCTCCTAAAAAAGCTAGGGTTCCTTTGTCTCCCGTCGGCGGTGGCTCATTGAAAAATTCGAAGGAGATCATTGTCAGCAAATATCATTGTCAGCTCCACGTCCAACTCGGAGCTGAAGTGCACAAGGTCCATCTCTAGCATGCCATCCACGCTGCGGGTTCCCTTATGGGTGATATCGTCACCGATGTACTTGGCGTCATCTGGATACACCATCTTCCTTGCGCAAATCATGTCATAGTAGCAACGTCCTATTAACAGAATAAAACCCGGATCAGTAAGATGATAATAAGCCAATTCAGATTCATGATGAATAGTGCATTCAAGCATCGTGAGAAGCAGATCGCCGTGACCCAAAGTACTAATCAAATGCCGCTATCACTTGCTAATCAGCCGTGCCGCGGCAGAAAAGTAGAGGACTTACCCGCATATGCATAGGGCAGAGGGCAGCAGAATGCTGCTGTCCTTGGCTTGCGTGTTATGTCCCACAACTCGGCGTAAAATAGGGTCCTCGAAACATTCTCATCAGAAGTTGCCATGAAGTTCACGTGGAAGCACGTATCAGTGCGGGGGTAAATGCCATGGGCGCTTTGCTCCATACAAATTATAAAATCAAGTTCATACTTTGGTCCCTACAGCAAGCAAGAAATTAAAAAGCAAGAGTGTTTGTTGGTCAAATCAAGGTAAAGCCAATATACGTATGTAAGTAGCAACTAATGATTGAAAACAGAAGAGGAAGTTCAATGCCTACCCAAAAATGTTGGTCCGTGTAATCCTTGAGCAACTGTTCAATCTTTGAACGGAACCAGCTCCTCCGCTCCTCATACTGTGATCTCTCGCTTGATACCACCCTCAAGGCGGCCTCTGCACAAAGTTCAGGGGCAGGAGCTTGCACGGTGCCACTAGTTTGAGATCTGAATGTTTTTTTTGAACTCGAACCATAAGGCCGACATAAGAGCTCTGATGTCATCGACGCACAACACAACACCACTAGTTTGCGCCTTGGTTATATGTGAGAGCAGCTTGCTTCGGCCATCGGGCTCGAGCAGCAGCATCTGGTGAAATTCGCCCAGCTGAAGGGGCAACGGGTGAATAGCAGCCATGGCCGCCTCGTGGAAGGGGTTCTTTTCAGACCTCTTTGTTGTAGATGATAACATGTCAACAAGGTCGCATTTTGCACTGCAGAGTTTCTCTAGAGCACAAGCAATTGAGGACTGGGGGTCGGCGAACAAGGCAAGGTTTGCAAGCCCCTCGAGGGAACAGACAACTAGGCAGATCAGAGATATGGGGTCCATGACGTCATTGTACTCTTTCAACATCATGCGGTCAGAAGCCGGGAGAACGGAGCCACAGGTCTCATGCCAGACTGAGTTAATGATGATGTTGGAGAGAGGGTCACAGGGGCCATAGAAGTGGCCGGCCATGAGGATGCCGCGCATGAGAGAGCCCGAGGGTGCGTGCAACATCTTGAAGGCTTGGACGTACATGTGGTGGATCATGCCATGGAGGTACATCTTGAGAGAGCGTAGGTAATCGCAGTCGTCGCCACCGCACGAGGCCTTGAGAAAGTGTTTCTGGAAATCTGCTATCGTGAGGCAAGCTTGCAGCTTGCTAGGTAGTCCGGACTGCAGAGACGAGATGGCGGTCCCGTCCAGGCGGAAGGTGGTGGAGCTGATCCTGGCGCCAGCGGTTGCACTACTAGAGACGACAAGGGGCTTTGTCTCGGACGAGATAGCGCCGTCATCGAGGTTGTGACGGACATGGACGACCAACCCATCTTTGGTGTTGCTAATGTTGGCGACACACATCGGGGTCATGGTCATGTGCAGCACACGGTGGATTGCTCGGACATCCTCAGCCGTGAGAGGGGTGCCATTGGCCGAAAACAGATGCTTGTTGAAGAGGTCGAGGTCGCCATGTTTGAGCCGGATTGCCATGACCTGAACCAAGGTGGCGGGCGAACGGTGGCCTGCCTCGGTGGTTGCACACTCAAGGGCGGCCTTGGTCCTGTCGGATTCAGGGTCGAGTGCCTTGGACGGCTCCGCATGGTAGAGATCGTGCTGGACGAGCTTGACAGCGAGGAGGAGATTGGCGTTGGCCCTGTAGAGGTAGCGGAAGGCTTGTGGCTCGCTGAGGCATCCAAAGTATGCCACAAGGAAAGCCATGAGACTGTGGCTGGACCTGCATGCAACCTCGTGCTAGGGGTCGAAACCGGGTCTGTGCCTCTTTTTCTCGGACCTCGTGCTCTCATCATAGGACTCCATCTCATCGGACTCCGTGTTGGGCTCGGCGTCGAGGGTGGTGGTGGGATGGAGGGCGAGGGTGCTCTCATCAGACTCCGTCTTGGGCTCAACGTCGAGGGTGGTGGTGGGGAGGAGGGCGAGGGTGTTGAGGATGATGTTGGAGACGGGGTTGAGGGGGCCGAGGCAGAGGCCGTCGGTGCTGAGGAGGCCGTAGAGGTCGGGCATGGCCTTGCAGGGCAGCCGGAGCCGGCGGAACGCCTGGTCGTAGAGACCGACGATGAGGTTGCGCGTGGCTTGGCACAAATTGTCGTCGTGGGGAAGAGGGGCATACTCGTGACGGCAGATGAGGCTGTGCAAGCACGAGATGAGCCCCCTCCGAGAGTGAGAGCCGTCGGAAGAAGAAGAAGTGGATCCAGACGCCATCTGCGAGTGAGCAAGCGAGCGAGCAGAGACGGCGGACGGAGCTTGTGTTTTTCTCTGGGCAGCGGCGACCGTGTGATCGAGTCGGTCTGATGGGAAGATATTATATGGAGTGGGATGAGTTCGTTCATTGGTCGTGACTTGCCTTCTTTGTCCCCGAATACGTACAATATGAACATATATATTACCATATATAAACGTATACTACCATATAGTATATATATGCCCCTTTCTCCCTTTATTGGCATGCAGCCACGCCGTAAACGAGTCGGTCGTTTTGCAAACCTTGAGATCGAGATCCACTTGTAAACGGGTCCCCAAATACGTACGCGTACACGTTTTAGCGGTAGACGACCGACACCTCACCTGCGCGCGTCTACGTTTTCTCTTTCCCTCGCTCGTCTCGTCTCGTCGTCGTTGACTCGGCCTCGCGTCTTTGAGACGAGTCACACGCACGTCTCTTTCTTTTTTTAACACAATACAGACGCAAACATTTATATACATACGCATACACATATACTCACTCCTGTAAACGTACACACGAACACCCTATCCTCATGAGCATCTTCGCAAGACTAAGCCTGTATATCATCTTGAAAACCTAGCTACCATCTTGTTCATTGTAAAGTGCACGAACTGATACGGTTTATATACAGTATTGCTAAAAAAAAGGATTTCCCTCTGTACAGCTTATGAAGCATACAGTGATCCCCTGTTTCAGCAGTATGGTTCACTTTGACCTGCATCTATGTGAGCGCTATATTGGTTTCAGCTTGGTTGGGGTGCGCCCCTCTCTATGAAAAATAAATTTAACACCAAATATTAAACTAATAAGAATAGATACAACTCTTGGTGGCACGAAGCATCTTGGTGCTTCGCCGTCAGACAGTCAGCAACTGGATGTTTAGCCGTGCATGTTGTAGTTTTTTCGGTTTTCGTCTAACAATCGCTCTGACCCTGGCCTTGGTACCATCGCTGATGGCGTGGACAGGACAGTGGACAAGCAAATGATCCAAAGCCAAGACCTGGTCAGTCTTAACATACTATGTAACCTGGTCAGTCTTAAACATATCATACAGGGCCATATAACAGCAGGTTAGGATCACATAGGATAGGATGGCTGCCGCCTGCAGGTATCTGCGCCTGTGGCGATCCAACCCCAAACCCGGCCATCTTTTAGCACGACGGGCTAGCAACACACCGCCATTCCAACGCCCAAGGCACACCGTGGACGGTGAGAGGATGGCCTGCCGGGGAGCAAACTCCGATGAAGGCGCTGCCAAAGCGCATTTCGTGTTCGTTCCGCTGATGCACCACGGCCACCTGATCCCGGCGGTGGACGCCGCGCTGCAGCTGGCCGCCCACGGCGCGCTCGCTAGCATCGTCGTCACGCCGTCGTACACCGCGCGCCTCCGCCCCGCGGTCGAGTCGTCGGGCCTGCCGGTGCGGCTCGTGGAGCTCCCGCTCGACCTCGCCAGCACAGACGACGTCGACCGGATCCCCCCGGACCAGGAGGCCGCCTACCTCCTCGCCGCGTCGCGCCTCCGGGCCCCGCTGGAGCACCACCTCCGCGCGCACGCGCCGCCTGTGACGTGCGTCGTGTCGGACATATGCCACCCGTGGACCACCGGCCTCGCCGCCAGCCTCGGTGTCCCGCGGCTCAGCTTCCTCGGCATGTCCGCCTGCTGCCTCCTCTGCCTGCAGACGGAGCACCATGCCGCGGCCATTCGCAACGCCTATGCCGCCATTGACCCCTACTGGCACCTCATCCCCGAGGAGCCGGTTGAGGTGAAAATGCCCACCGCGGCCCCTGGGTTCCTGCGGCTACCGGCGTGCAAGAAGCTGGCATACGAGAAGCTGGCATACGCTGTCGAGCGGGCATGCGTCGAGGTCGATGGTGTCATCCTCAACACCTTTTTGGAGCTAGAGCCGGAGACGGTCATGAGCTGCATGGAGGTCAGGAACGTCAACGTGTGGGCCGTCGGTCCGGTGTCGTTGTTCCACTATCACCAGAACGCGGCGGCGCTGGCGGCAAGAGGGAACGCGCCCACCATCGACGCCGACGAGTACCTCCGGTGGCTCGACGACAAGGAGTCGTCCTCCGTCATCTACGTCAGCTTCGGGAGCAGCGCCGTGCACGCGGCTCCAAAGCAGGTCATGGAGATCGGCCTTGGCCTCGAGGCGTCAGAGCACCCGTTCATCTGGGTGGTATCATCGGAGAATGCCGGACAGGACCAGGAGATCCGCAGGTTCCTTGAGGAACTGGAGGCCCGGGTCAGCGGTCGCGGCCTGCTGATCAGGGGCTGGTCACCGCAGCAGCTGATATTGTCCCACGCGTCAGTGGGCGGCATCGTGACGCACTGCGGGTGGAACTCGATGATGGAGGCGGTTGCGGCCGGGCTTCCAATGGTGACATGGCCGCACCTGGCGCTCCAGTTCGTGAACGAGGCCTTGGCCGTGCGCTCGATGGAGACCGGCGTGAGCATCGGGGTCGAGTGGTCGAAGGAGGAGGGGGTGGAGGTGGCGGTGGTGGAGCGAGGGGTGGTGGAGGAGGCGGTGAGGAGCATCATGGGCGGAGGAGACGAGGCGGCGGAGAGGCGGAGGAGGGCGACGGCGCTCGCGACGAAGGTGCGAGAGGTCAGCCAGGAGGGCGGATCTTCTTTCATAAACCTGCGTCGTTTGGTCAAGCGCTACCAAGCAGTGACGTCCCATGATGCATGAATATCACCTCAGATATGATAGACAGTTTAAGTTTTTGCAGCCCCCGCTTTAAGTTTTTACACTTGGATTGAATAAAGAGTTTAAGTTTGATCCAAACAAACCTATAAGATTATATTTTCCTTGAAGGTGAAGCCAACAATACCTCTTTATTCTTTTTTCTTGGACGCGAATACTCGAAGGGCTTTCGATCAGGACCTTTTTGGTTGCCTGCATTAAATTTAGGCCTCCTGCATCTGTGGGCCTGTGGCCCGACTCAGCCTGGCTGATTAGAAACAACCTCCGGGCCATGTTATGCATGTCGGTTGGTCCTTATTGCTGATCAATTTTACGTATTGTGCTTCAGATTATTAGCCTGGAGTTTGCCATCGGCAGTATAGCCAACCCTACCCTATCACGTCAATCCCACAAAGGCTATTATCCATTGTCGTTCGCTCGTGGTTTTGTCGCAGAATTAGTAGTATTTTTTGGACCAATTACTAGTCCAAAATTTCTGTTAATACCTGCATATTGATCATGTGCTTGACCATATGTCTTTGTCCTGGGTTTGGTTGAATTAATTAATCTAAACCTTGAACCAAAATTTCATTTAATGTGGCTTGAAGATTGAGTTATTCATATTTAAGGTATTGCTTGGTCCTAGTTCTAGCTATAGGATATGGTTCTTGATGCTGGTTTCTGATTTACTAGGTGTTTATACCATAGTTGCCAGAAATCCGGGTGGCCCGGGTCGAGGAACGGGGTCGAGGATCGTCTTCTGAGCGAACAAGGGATATACATCTCCGGGACGCCAATTTCTTAGGTGGGTCACGATCCACTTAATTTCGGGTCGATGGCCTGGGTCGATTCATGGAGGGAGATCTTCTCTCGGCAAACAATTTTTCGCAAAGGATAAAACTCAATCCTTCATATGTTCCCGCCAAGCGGTGCCATGGAGTCAGCGTCAGTTAACTAGTAGTCGACGCATCTGTAAGGACATATTTATCCCTAAGTGTTTTGGTGATTGATGACAACGCATTTGCGGACTAATCGTGTGCCATGAGTATTCCAGACACTTCTTTGCTAGGCACAAGACGATTGGGTGCCCCTCGAAGACTGACGAAGACGACATCTTTTCTATATTTCTTTTTGGTGGATTTGAGTCGTAGGAAAGCCGTACTATTAAGAGGGGGTCCGCGTTGGAAAGGTTTGGGTGGAATCATCACGTACACGTCTCCTTCTTATCCCCTCCTTCTTCCTTGGAGCTTCCTCCATTTTCTTGCCTCCCTTGTCTGGCTGTCGTTGTTGGTTGCGGTAGTACTGCTCCCAGGTCAACGGTAGTACCGTGGGCATTCGCGGTAGTACCGCGCGGTAGTACCGCAGGTGCCCACGGTAGTACCGTGTTGGAGCGGTAGTACCGCGCTATGTAGTCAGGCAGTAGTACCGCCCCTCGGCAGTACTACTGTGTCGGGTTTTTGCTACTTTCGTTTCTTTGTGGAAGTAGGCACGGAAGTTTCCCTTCTCCCCTGGCTGGGATTTTTGCCTCGCGGTAGTACCGCATGGGGGGCGCGGTAGTACCGCGCGTGCGGAAGTACCGCCCCCAACTCCTGTGCGTCTGTTTATCGGTTCTGTGCTGGGGTTGCGGCAGTACCGTGGGTCGGTACGGTAGTACCGCACAGCCGTGCGGTAGTACCGCTTGGTTGCAAGCAGTAGTACCGCGCGGCCTTGCGGTAGTACCGCTGGCCAGGCGCGGTAGTACCGCTGGCCGCGGGCTGGTTGGTGGGTAACGGTTGGATCTTTTCCACACACTATATAAGGGGTCCCCTTCTTCCCCGTTGACTTATCTCTTCCACCACTAAGCTCCATTATTGCTCCAAGCTCCATTTTTCGCCCGATCTCACTCCCTAGCCAACTAAACTTGTTGATTTGCTCGGGAGTGGTTGAGAAGGCCCCGATCTACACTTCCACCAAGAGATATTTGATTCCCCCACTAATCCCTTGCGGATCTTGTTACTCTTGGGTGTTTGAGCATCCTAGACGGTTGAGGTCACCGTGAAGCCATAGTCCGTTGTGGTGAAGCTTCATGGTGTCGTTGGGAGCCTCCAATTGAGTTGTGGAGATTGCCCCAACCTTGTTTGTAAAGGTTCGGTCGCCGCCTCCAAGGGCACCAATAGTGGAATCACGACATCTCGCATTGTGTGAGGGCGTGAGGAGATTACGGTGGCCCTAGTGGCTTCTTGGGGAGCATTGTGCCTCCACACCTCTCCAACAGAGACGTACTTCCTCTCAAAGGGAAGGAACTTCGGCAACACATCCTCGTCTCCACCGTCTCCACTCTTGGTTATCTCGTGCCTTTACTTGTGGAAGCTTATTTGTTTCATATATCTTGCTTGCTTGTGTGCCTATCCGTGTTGCATCATATAGGTTGCTCACCTAGTTGCATATCTAGACAACCTACTTTGATGCAAAGTTTAAATTGCTAAAGAAAAGCTAAAAATTGTTAGTTGCCTATTCACCTCCCTCTAGTCAACCATATCGATCCTTTCAATTGATATCAGAGCCTCGTCTCTTTATTAAGGACTTTACCGTCCAAAGAGTATGGTTGATACCGTAGACGGTGTGGAGGAACACTCCGGTGTGAATCCGATCTCGTCTACGGGCGATGAGGGAACCTCGGTCTCTCGTGAGGAGTTCAATGTGGCCTTGGAGACATTGAAAACCTCCATGACGACCGAAGTTGAAAGCATGTTTACTAAATTTCTTGAGGGGCTTAAACTATCCACCGCACCATTGAAAGTGGGTGACCCCGCCAACAAGGTGACGGATGCTATCCCCGACAAGGGGGAAGCTAGTAGTGAAAAGGCTCCTTCTTCTAGTGGTAAGAATTGCACCGGCATCTTTTCCCATGTGGAACCACCACTTGTTTATGGTGGACCGGTTCCTTCCACTCATTTGAATCATGCCGGTCCTCCCCCTAAGATTGTGAAAAATGAGGACTTTGATTCTTGGGTTTACCGCTTTAAACGTCATTTAAATCATGTGAACACTAACCTTTGGAGAATCATTGAAGAAGGTTTTTATCCGCATGATCCAAGCAACATCACTCCTCGAGAAGCCGCGGATAATCAATTCAATGAGAATGCTCTCTTCATCATTCAAGATGCAATTCCACCCGAAGACCTACCTCATCTTCGTCCCTTCGCCTTGGCCAAAGATGCATGGCATTGTGTTGTCTCTCTCTACCGGGGAAGCGCGGGCATTCAACGCTCCAATTATGAAGTGGTACAAGATGAGGCCGATGAGTTTGCAATGAAAGAAGATGAAGAACCTCGTGAGCTTTATCGGAGAGTAACCAAACTCGCGGTCTCACTACGAGATCACGGGAGCAAGGACACGGATGACAATTGGATCAAGCGCAAATTCCTCAAGGCAATGATGCCCTATCACAAGGCCATGTCATCCGTCATTCGTCAAAGACCGGACTTCCACACTTTGACCTCAAGCGAAGTGTTGGATGAGTTTGTGGCCATGAACATTTTGGACAAGACCGCCGACAATGCGGTGCTCCGTTCTCAACGGGCAAAGAAGCCTAACCTTGCATTAAAGGCCAAGCTCACCGTGGAAGAAGAAGAAGAGGAAGAAGAGGAGAGCAACCCCGAAGATATGAAGTATGCATATCATGAACACATGGCACTTGCTTCAAGGCAATTTTGGAGCAAGAAAAACTCGAGGCCAAACTTTAGCAAAAGCAACTCGAGTGGCACAAGGGGCAAGCAACGTGTAAGCTCTTGCTACAATTGCGGCAACGTGAGTCATTTCGTTGCGGAATGCCTGTGTGAGAAGAGGGAAGACAATGGTGGCAAGCTCATCCGAAAGGACAAGGCCAAGTCGTTCCCCAACAAGAACAACTTCACCAAGAAGACTCCTCCCAAGGCTTTGGTTGTGCAAGAAGAGTACAATGAGGATGATGATGATGATGAAGATGGTGAGTCGATTGCCATGGCCTCCGTTGCCATTGCAACAACGTCACGGGTGTCTCTCTTCGACTCACCCAACGAGAGCATCACCGCCAAGTGCCTCATGGCTAAAGCCACCAACAAGGTAACCTCCAACATCAAAACTACCATCATTAATCATCCTTCCCCGACGGATAGCATTAACGAACTTAAGGGAGCTAATGTGGAGGCTAACGAGTTTGAGGCCTTTATGGGAAAACTCAAGGGAAAATCCAAGAAGCACTTTGTTGCTCTCTTGGAACAACTTGGTGAAGCCAATGACATGATCGAGGCTCACAAAGACACCATCTCTAAGATGAAAGGGCATAGTCTTGACTATGCCGATGAGATTTCGGATCTTTCCAATGCTCTTGAGGAAGAGCGTGGTCTTCGTTTGGCTCTTGAGGAGTCACACAACGTTGATCATGCTAAGTTAAAGAAAGATTATGATCATGTCCTCATTGTTTCTCGTGTGCTAAATTCCGAGAAGGCCAAACTCGGGGTTGATCTTGCTAGACTCAAAGAGGAGTTTGATATACTTGACAAGGCCCACAAGGCCTTGAAGCGTATTCACGCTAGTCTCAAGGAGTCTCATGATCAACTCCAAGTGAAGTTAACTATGGAGAAAGCAACTTTTCCTCATATGGTTCTAATTGATAATGCAAATGCTACTAACCCGTGTTGTGAGCATATACATCTTGTTGAGGAAAATGCTAAGTTGAAGGAGCAACTTGAGAGAGGTCTTGCAACTTGCATACAAGGCAAGAAGAACCTCAACGATCTCTTGATCAACCAAAAGGGAGGTGTGGCCAAGGAAGGGGTTGGGTACGTGCCCGACTCCAAGAACAAGAAGAAGAATGATAAGACCAAACGACCTCCTCCCCTCATGAAAACCTTTGTGAGGGAGGGAGAGAGTGCCCCCGAGGAGAAGAAGAATAACAATGTCAAGAAGGGCAATGTCACCCCTCTCAACAAAGCCGGCGATCGTGCTAGTGATGGGCATGTTTATGCCAAATTTGTTGGTTATCT